CATCAACATTAAGCTACATAGCGTTCTATATCTGTGCGTCAACGTAACACTACCAAGCAGCATGCTCATTTTCACTTCCTGCACTTCATTTCTTAAACGCTGCTACTGTGGAATATCGTAGGATGTCCCGAAACTGGATTTACCTATCACATTGGTCCAAAGAAGCGACAGACAAGTGGGCGTTGTCAGTTCCACATTTTATTTTTTCTCTCACCGTATACTGTTTCGTGTGCACATGCGATTCCCATTTCAATCCATCGTTATACAGCAGTGCAGTTAAATCCGTAGACTCCTAACCCGACAATTCTCTTACCTTTGCATTTTGGTTCTCGCTCCAACCATTCTACGAGACTTGTTGAACAGCTGCGTTGCTACCGCAATAAATCACTGTTCATTTCTTGCTTTCGGAAGATGTTGAATTCAACTCGGTTTATTAAAACCTGTATTTTGGCCCCCAAGCATGTTGTAAGTTTGCTTCATTTTTCATCCTAGCTCTTGCTTGGAGGAAGGGACTTATATTGACTTACCGGAGTTTGTAGAATCTCGAACAAATTCGTTTCCACTTACTTCAAATTAACAGTAGCAACAACCGACTGAATTTGATCTCACCTGGAATGTCACAGGAATTTTCCTCCCCTGCGAACTTGTCAGCTAAGGTGTCCTCAAAATTGACGATCACAATAGCATGCACCGCTTGCCCACGGAAAGCTAGGCTTAAAGCTTCATAATTGAAAGTTAATTGTGTAGCAAAAAGCTCTGTTAAACTTGTGCAAACCGGTATAGAATGCGCAAACTGCAGTAAAAATTCCAGCCTAAATGTGCTCACCTAAGTCTCAGCAATATAAAGAAACTTTAATACGGTTGCTTGCCTCTGGTTCTGCACTGAGTGTACGGCTATTCCACTCGTCAGATGTCTAGCTGTGTTGGCACAGAAGTGCGATAGACTGAAAAAGTTTGTGTAGCAAGCAGCCGCCGTGAGATCTGCTACACAGGAACCCGACAAATCAGCGCCTCGAATGCGATGCACAACATCCAACTCTAATGCTATAAAGGCTAGTCAAGACGAAAATGCGAGCAGTGATCCAGCATTAGCCACCCAGATACTAGGAGCTGCTCATAAAGATCCATTTGTCATCCATTCTTCATCAGAGCCTAACGACACATCGAATACGGTTAGAGGACTGACAACACAGGCGTCCCTTGTTGCCACACCTATGACATCCTAACCCTGCCCGATGCCAAAGTAACTAGATAATACGAATAATACCACCACGGGACTCAAGACTCCGTCAGTTGTTCAGCAAAGAAAGCAGCCACACCCCTTCCAAAAAGAACACGAAATAATATCATACTTCTCTGACTGTTCTATGCTCTAAGGTGACTGAATCCGGGGCGACCTCCGTAAAAGAAATGCTACTAGACGACAAAAAACAGTGGGAATCCCTGTGTCAAGTAACCGTGGTTCAAGCTTAGCGAGCCAATATGGCGCGCCTCGTCCGTCACCATAATTCCGTACACTACGGCGTACCGCTTTTACTTCAGGTAACACTACAGTCAGGTAATGATGTAGAGGCAATTCTCTTGTCAGCCACCCTCGTCCATACCACCTCATGCACTATCCGAGTCTTCCAAAGGTTCCTTGGATCGAACGTCAGCAACGCAAACAAAAGCCGGATGGCATCCGTAAACAAAAAGACATAAAATCAATCCTTGTCCACTGTGTCCTAGAGGTCTAAACCTAAAGCGAGCTAGTGGTCAAAGAGCAGGACCGGGATGAATGGCGTTTTATTCGGGAAATGCTCTCACTCGAAAATGTTATCGCTACTTCGACCTCAATATTATCGCTATCACCTGACTACAAAGGGTGGGTTACCCGAGTGATGAAAGTATCATTGCAATACAAACGGGGGATAGAAAATGTCATCGAAATATGGCACAAAATGCGTAAAATGCTGCCATCAGAAGTACCTATAAAAGTGATAGACACCCGGCCAAAAATATATCACACCGCGAATTCAGTTCACCTGTACAACCCCACCAGCAAGTGGCTCAGAATGGGGTCATTGTCAAAATATTAGAAATCCGTGAGAATATTTATAGCTCGGGATGCGGATGAGGGTATACGGGAGTTCTCCGAGCTCGGAGAACACCCGTATACCCCCATTGTCAAAATATGCCTGCAGCTGAGGGAGGACGGGCTGCTCATCCGTTTGTTGGCATTGAGTACTCTACACAACAATTCGGAATGGCTGAAGGGCCTACCTTGGCGATCCTACAAAATGATGACCACCAGCCAAATCCAAAAGTATCGGCGTAGACCCACAATGAACATCAGCATTCACAAACGCGCTTCTAATCTCTGTTACCTTCACCTGCTTATATACCAATGTACAAGGTCTCCTCAGAAAGCTAACCGAACATCGTATTCGTTTTGGACCTTTTGCTCACCAACGAGGAACTAAGCGTCGATACGGTGACTATAGAGGTTCCACTTGGCTGTAGCGATCACGCGATGTTGCACATTTGTTATATCTGCTTCCAGGAGTACATCAGTGAGAACAAAGGCGAAACCTACAACGTCACCCTTTTCTATAACCTGTTCGACCTCGTTCAAAAGACCGAATTGTCTTTCCTAGCCGAGCGGCCACCCGATGTTGCCTAGATGGTGTTTGTCCCCTAATTTATCGAGCTGGTGGCAAATGTATCGGAAAGCAATGTCTTACTCCCGAAGCAAATGAAAGCCCTCCTGCGGAGCCGTACGAGGATATGTACGGCTCTAAGGGACTCAGACTAGCGCACCTCAACGCCTGTCCGATTATTCTGATCTGGGCCACTTGCACAACTCAACAAAACCAAAATGTCAAGTTGATCCGCGAAGACAAAGTCCAGCACCAACAGCATTTAGCGGCGAAATTCACTACAAATATTACATTGCTGTACAGACAAGTCAAAAAGCGCTGCAGAGGGCACGCAGGATCCCAGTTGTACCGGCAACGGATGAGCTGTCGCAAACTACACAAGAGGCGGCCAAAGCGCTTCGCCAACATTTCATCCACATTTCCCAGACTGAGTCCTCTCAACCGTTTCTGACACAGCTCGCACCGTCACCAAAGTTGAACTACGTGTCGTTCATGGCAGCCAAGGTGATGAAAAGACTATTGTCCGTGCGAGTGTATGACTCACCTGGCGTGGAGGACATCATACCGAAGGCATTGAACAATCTAGTTGAGACAACCGATTGGGAGTTCTTGAAAGCTGGCTCATCTGACAGCCCCTGCCTTCAGTTTGTCGGACGCTTCAGCAATCTAGTCGCAACTGCTTCGGAGACAAAGAGAGTTTGCTCCACCAATCCCAGGTCTTTCATCAGAAGTAGAATTCGCAAGCTCATGTCAATAAGGAATGTAGCTTGGCACACTTACAGAGTTCGTCCTTATTCCAAAACCTGGAGCGATTACGTGACCAAGCGCAACCACTGTAACACACATGTCCACGAGGACAATTTGATCCACTAAAAACATTTGGCCTGTGAATTTGCCAACAACCAAAAGCTCCCATGGTTGGCGGCATCCGGTTTCGGATTTGCCTGTCACTGTGGCCAGCCACAGGACGCATGCGCCTACAGAGGGACCATGGGTGGCTTGCACTGCACCACCCACAGCTCCAACCACACACCCCATATCCAGTGTAAACCCGAAGGAATAAGGCCGGGAGGCATGCGGATGGGAGCCACATTTCATTAACGGTGCCAACCCACACTCCTTCACAGGCAAACACAAACACGCTGTATTTGGGAATCAAGCGCACACAAGGCGATGACTGAAACCTAGTCCGCTCCACACTGATTACATGGAACCACTCTTCGAGCCTAGCACGGCCACAAGGACCGTGCACCCCGTCCCCTCCAGCAACGACCAACTGTCTCCTGCAACCAGTATGAACGAGGTAGTGGCTAATAGACAGGTAGGCACCTTGTCAGCATGCACATCAAGCGCAGCCGCACCGGTGATGTCAAACAACAGCCAATCACTTGAAATAACAGTAACAAATAAAATATATCTGTTAAAGAATACGGCTATGCAGACATAACTCTACCATAAAATAGCATGTGAAGTACATTTGCTGGCAATGAATCCGCGATAAGTAAAATATGTCCAGAAGTGGCTCAGAAAAGGCTACAAATGCATTAAAGTTAACGAAGATAAGCACAATTACCGTAAGCAACGTGAAAATTTAGTAGAAGAATACTCCGGTAGGTAGAACAAATCAAATGAAGTGGAATGAAATTTATCCAGCTTAAAAAGACCCAGTTTAAGTGTACGTTGGTTTAGTCCAACTGTGGTGAAGAAGTATCATGAATGCAACACCAGCCTCAGCATTTTAACACCTTCCGGAAAGTGAAGTTCGGTAACCCACCACTTCAATCGCCAGTCGGAGTGGCACAGAGTGCCTAAGATGCAGCCAACGACCTACGAATGCAGTATGCCCCAGCCTTCCAGAGAGACGTCCGCCAGTGTTACATACCAACATCCCTATCCCCAACTTCAGCACTCACTAACATCGATTTTACTGCCATAACTGTTTTGAAGAAACTGCTCTCACTGCGCACATACAGCTCTCCCGTAACAGACTATATTCATCCAAGGGCGCTAAACGTAGCAGCACCAACCTTGGTCGTGCCATTATCGTATTTCTTCCGAATGTGCTTGGATTAACAAATTGTGCCTGCTGTATGGAAATACGGTTTAATCACTCCAATTTTCAAAATTGATAATCGCTCGCAACCAGCTAACTATCGCCCAGTTGTCCTCCTCCCTGTGCTCTCACAGATGATGGAGGCAACCATCGCTGACGTTTTAGTGGACCATCTAGAACGTCACAACACCAAAGCACCCAAGCAACACGGTTTTCGCCAGCACTGTTCATACACTACCAACCTACTAATTGCACGCATTATTTGAACAAAAGTGGCCGATACAGGCAGTGGGACAGACGTCACTTACCTCGACTTCTCCAAAGTCTTCGACCGACTGGACCACCGCATTCTGCCTCACAGGCTCGAAAGCTGTGGAGTTGGTGATTCTGTCCTTGGGTGGACCAGACATTTCCTGCAGGATCGGTAACTGCAGATCAGAGTTCGAAGTGCGCTATCCGATCCGATTTACTCGAATGTGGAGTTCCACAAGGAGCAGTTCTGGGGCCGTGTCGGTTTCTCGTGTTTAGTGACGAGCTTACGCGTTTGTTGGCCTCAGATTTCCTGCTGCTTTCTGACGATGTTAAGCTGTGGCGGACGATGGCCGACCCAGCAGATCGTGATGTATTGCGGCAAGCATCTCGGCTTGTGCGCTGGCTCTCCATAACAAGATGTACTTCAGGGAGTGAGTATGAGTGGTCACTCCACAATCTGCTCTAGTTCATTTCGGGGAAGTGTAAGGTGGTTCACATTCGCTACTAACCGAACTTCACATACAAGCTTGCAGATGAATTCTTGCAAGAAGTCACCCAGGAGCACGACCTTGTGGTACTGGTTCAGGCTTATCTGGGCTGCTCAGAACAATATGAGGAGGCGGTTAAGACAGTTAACCTACACGTTGCTGCAAAGGGTATTTGGGCGGCTTCATCCCTCTGTCTGTTCTCATTTGCTTAACACCTACGTGCGGCCTCATGTGGAATACGCGATCCAGGTGTGGCAGCCCTGGCACAAACAAGACCTTGCAGCGTTTGTGACTCCACAAGGACCAGCCAAGAAACTCGTCAAAGGGTAATTTAACCTTTCTTATCAAATTAAACTGTGGGCCCTAAAAGTATACAGTGGCCGGTACCGGCGCCTAGATGGCGACGTTATTATAACCTACCAGATTCTAAGGAACCCCAACTACGTCTGCCGGCACCTACTACTATGCCACACCGGCACACGGCCAGTTATTGCATGGAAGTGCGAGCGAAACCTTTCGAGGGAATACCTTGCATGGAAGCAGGTCCCCTGGGGATGGTTCCACGAGTGGCCGTATTACTTTAACTGGACATCTGTTTAAATTTGCTTACGTTATTGTTCCTGCTTTTTATTTTCTTTAATGCCTTAATCCTGCCAATTAGTTTAGTACCTGTTTTTGGATCCATTGTAAAAAGCGTGAACAAATTGATTATATTTTTTGCGATCTTGTTGTACACATTGATCAGACCACATAGTTGGACTGCACCTCGAAACACCGAGGAATATAACATTTATCATTTATCATTTATCATTTATCACAACGCAAACTTGATGGGCCACCAGTTCAAGTTAGCCAAGCAATACATTCGGCTAG